GAAAATGGTTAAGTAAATCAAAAGATGATTGTCAATTAGAAGTTGAACTTTATCCACAAACTATGGCAACAGATGTTTATACACCACGTAAGAATAAAAATAACGAATAAGTGTATTTATTTTCTTTTCCAAATATTTTCTTTATAGATGTTCCATATGAAATAAAAGTTTTTACATCAAAACTTTCTGGTGCTGGAACAGATGCTAATGTTCATATTGAAATATACGGTGTTGACAAAACAACTGGTCAAGTTGATTTATGTAGTAAAACAGATCGAAAAGGCAAATTTCAAACAGGTTCAATTGATACATTTGTGCTTGAACTTGAAGATGTTGGCAAAGATATTGAAAAACTTCGTATTGGACATGATAATCGTGGTTGGGGTAAAAAAAAGAAAAGAAAAAAAAAATAGATTGAATGACATTTAATTGATACTTTTTATTTTGAAAATAGGTGCAGCATGGCATTTAGATCGTGTTGAAATTCGTCGATTAGATAAAAATCAAAAAACTAAAACATTTATATTTCCATGTCGTCGTTGGCTTGCTAAAGATGAAGATGATGGAAGTATTGTACGTGACCTTCTTCCAGAAAAAGTTATTGAAGAAAAACTTGATAAAAGTGGACAATTACAAGTTCGAGAAAGAGAAATTCAAGATCAACTTGAAAGTAAAAGAGAAAAAGAAACTATATACAAACAAAAATATTTTATTAATTTTTCATTCTTCTAGTGAAACAATATATTGTTGATGTATATACAGGAGATAAATTTGCTTGTGGTACAGATGCAAATGTTTTTTGTACAATTTATGGTGATAAAGGTGATACAGGTGAACGTGAATTATCACATTCTGAAACACATACAAATAAATTTGAAAGAAAACATATGGATAGATTTAAAATTGAATGTGCAGATTTAGGAAATATTTTTAAACTTAAAATACGACATGATAATTCTGGAATATCAGCTGATTGGCTTTTATCTAAAGTTGAAGTTAAAGATGATATAAGAACATATGTATTTTATTGTGAACAATGGCTAGCTAAAGGAAAAGATTCGAAACTTGAACGAACACTCTATGAAAAAGTAAATACGAAAACTTAATGTTTTTCGTTATTTTCTATTACTATGGTTATTCTTTGCTTTCTATTAAGGATTATCAAGGTTCAATGAGTAGTCTGGGATCTATTCCTCGTTCTGTAACTGGTTCCAAAGCAAGTTTAGCATCAAACGATAGTGAGAGTAAAAATGAACCCTTTCGGCGTGCCCAACGTAAGAATATCATGTCAAGTATAGCTGAAGAAACTCGAGATACAACGGAAGAGGGCATTCCTTACACTGTTAAAGTTAAAACTGGTGAAAAATCAGATGCTGGTACATCAGCCAATGTATTTATACGTTTAATTGGTCGTAAAGGTCGACAAACACGTTTAATACCATTAGAATTGATGCAACGACGACATTTTGAACCTGGAAAAGTTGAAACATTTTCTTTACAAGAACCTGATGTTGGTGATTTAGAAATTGTTGAAATTGAACATGATGGTGCAACATTAGCTGACAGTTGGTTTCTAGATGATATTACTATTGAAATGCCAACAAAAGGACGAGCATTCTATTTTACTTGTCATGAATGGTTATCAAAACAAAAAGGTGATGGAAGAACGAAACGTATACTTAAAGTACAAGATTCTAATCAGTCATCATTTCGTCCTTGTAAGATTTGTGTTTCATTCTTTTTTTTTGCATTGCTATGAAGTATGTTTTTGTTTAGTAATTCCATATGAAATAACGATTTATACAGGAGATATTGAAAATGCTGGATGTGATTGTGATGTTAGTTTGAAATTATTTGGTACAGAAGGTTCTTCATCTGACCATGTTATTAAAAAAGAAGAAGGCGATTTTGAACGAGGATCTATTAATCCATTTAGATTTGAATTAGATGATGTTGGTAAACTTATTAAATTACGTGTAACGATAATACCTAAACATAAAAAAAGTCGAAATCGATGGTATTTAGAAAAAATTGAACTAGTTAAATTTACAAAACAAAATGAACGACAACAAACATATTTTTTTGGTCTTAATGATTGGATATCACGTGAAACAGATTATTTTCGTGATATACCATTAACTAAAGGTGGAAAAGCTTTATTAAATAATACAACTTATCGTGTAACAACTAAAACTAGTGAAATAGATGGTGCAGGTTGTGATTCAGATATATCTATTGTTATTTTTGGTACGAGAAACGAAAGTTAAAAATTTTATATTATATAAAATGAATACTTGTTTTATTTTTCATTAGGTCAAAATGGTGATAGTGGAGAATTAAAATTAGAGAATTCTTCAACACATATGAATAAATTTGAACGTGGTAATGAAGATATATTTACATTTGAAAATATTTTAAGTTTGGGTGAATTAACAAAACTACGTGTAACAAATGAAGAATCATCATTCTTCAAAAAATCTTGGCATTTAGAATATGTTAAAGTTGATGATATACAAACAGGACAATCATATACGTTTCCATGTAATAAATGGTTATCATCAAAAGAAGATGATCGACAAACTGTACGTGAACTTGTATGTAGTAATGATTCACCGAATTCAAGTCGACGAGGATCATTGACACCAGGTGGGAAAGTTCCATATGAAATTGAAGTAGTTACATCAGATAAACAAAATGCGGGAACAACACAACATGGATGGATCGTTATTGAAGGAAATAAGAAAAGATCAGAAAAATTCTATATGAAAAATACACCACGTAGAAAAATTTTACGAGGGTAAGAAAACTTTTTTTTTTCTAAAATATATTGTTTTATTATATATTATGAAATTTATAGTGGACAAACAGATACATTTACATTCGAATGTCGACCACTTGGTGAATTACGTCGTATTATTTTGGGTCATGAAGAACGACCTGAATATCCACTTAAAACATATGAAGGTCGTGAAGCTAAATGGCATGTTGCACATATTACCATCACTGATCCTTCAACAAACACTAAGTAACAACTCTTTATTCATAAAATCTTAATTTTATTTTTTTTTTTTCTAAAAATTTTTTCTAGATATGAATTTCCGATAAAAAGATGGATTGATATTAACAATGATGGTGATGTATTTGAATGTGCTGATAAAAAAGAAGATATGATAGCACAACAACGTCATCGTCAACTACTTAAATATAAAATTATTGTTTATACAGGTGCGGTAAGTGGTGCTGGTACAGATGCTAATGTATCAATTATTCTTTATGGTACTCTTGGTGATACGGGTACTCGACCATTAAAACAAAAAGGTCGAAATTTATTTGAACGTGGTCGAGTTGATGAATTTATTATTGAATCTTTAGACTTAGGTAAGATATATCTCATTTGTTTGTCTCAAATAAAATTTCATTTAAACTAGGTAAATTAAATAAATTACATATTGAACATGATAATTCCAAGTTATCACCTGATTGGTTTCTTGATAAGGTTGAAGTTGTTAATATGGATACAGATGAAAAAGTTACATTTCCATGTAATCGATGGCTTGGTAAAAAACATGATGATCATGAAATTCAACGAGATTTATTACCTATGAATGATTAATAAAAATGTGATATTTTTTTTTTCATTTTTTGTTTTTTTTTGTTAAACTTACCTTGAAGGTAAAATGAACATGATCAAAACAACAAACTTTCTTCTTTCCGTAATATAAATGTGAAAAAGAATTGAATAATTGTCAACTGCATACGATATACATGGGGTGTGTTTGTGTGTATTTCTTTCGTTTTTCTGCTTGACTATATACGCATTTTCTGTCTTTTTTCTTGTATTATTGCTTTTAACAAAATACATAATAATAATTTTTCTTTTATTAATAACAAATATTAATTTAAAACTTAAGGTAAATGAAAACATAAGTTAAATATCTGTCTATGAAACAATAGAATTCATAACGAAAGATTGTAATTCGATCATGAGTGAAAATAAACAAAATTCAGACATGAAAAACTATATGAAGTATAAGAATTAAAGAGAAATGCAAAAAATAAATTACTTGAACATGTTTGACAGCGAAAGCATTACTTCGACAATAATCAGATAAATATATACTATCGATAACTGTACATTTTAAACATTCATTATATCAGAATATTAAACAAAACTATTTTTTCAAATACTAATTCTAGTCAAACTTGTTTTTTTTTAATTCACAAGACGTACTTGAGTATTTTTGAAACGTACTAGAATTCTTGTTCAAACATATGTAAGGATGATCACAAGCTAAATGTTACATGAACAACAGTGCGAGCTATACAGATTAACAGCATAAGTCTGTTCTCATCACATTTTAGTAAAAATAATACTCCATTGAATCTCGTCATCTATCACAACTATGGAAGAAACATCTGTAATATGTGAAATCACTTTTAATTAAATGTTATATGTGTTCTTAGTTTTCTTTTCAAAGTAATTCGGTTCTTAATAACAATTCATAGTTTAAGAAACACAAAAATGAATGAAACAATTTAGCTTCTTCATGATCGTCGAATAATTAGTTATATTTTCATTCGTTTTCATGACAATAAAATATTAAAACATTTAATTTAGACTTCCCATTATCACATCTTCAATGAATTCAGTGATCAATTTAGTGGACGTGTATTGACAGATGTATACATAGTAATGTCATGTGATCTTATCAACAGTCATCTATCAAAATATCTCATCTTATTCGAATTTATTTACAGAAGATGTTGGCAGCTAAAAACACACAATGCACATAGTAACTATCTCTAAAGCCTCTGAATATAGATAGATACATCTATTACATTCTAAATCTCGATATTATAATAAAATAATATACTCATTTCATTTAGAAATGGAACTTTTGACGCATACTGATTGTCAAACACAAAAAGAATCTTAATATAGAACTTTTCTAAATAGCGTAGTTCATCAATTATGGCGCGATATTCTACATACTAAAGAAATGCAAGTAATCAACAAGCAATTATTCATCATATTTCTTTTCATTATTTATTCATCATGTTTGTACAGTTTAATAGAACATCATAAAACATGTATCGGTAAATCATTAACATACCGTGATATTGAAAAACATTTTAATTCATCATCAAATCTATTCTTTTTATTTGGTATAAATATTCATCGACCATTTCTAAATGAATATGATCAAACACATGCTGATGCAAACATATTTATTATAGTTATTTGTAAAAGTAATTCATCTGATTGTATTTTACAAAGTGGATCATTACCAGTTGAATATAAACTTGAATTTAGTATTGATGGTGTACCATATAGTGATAAACATTCAAAAATTGATCGTCTATGGCATCGAACAAAATTGATTAATTATGAATTTCTTTATGAACCATATAATTCTCATTCATGTTATGATAAACCAGAGAATGAGAAAGGTTCAATTTGGAAAAATTTTATTATGAATAGTAAACTGAGATATAAAACATTTGATTTGACAAGATATCTTATTTTTTTTTCTAGTGGATTCAAATGAAGATGAAAATATTTATTCAAAATGGGTAAATTAAAAATACAATAAAAAAAAAAAACAACGAAAATGATTCTGAGATAAAATTTAATAGAAAAGTGTCAATGAGCTTTTAGTTGAGAAAAGATTTTTGGCTTGTGATTATATTTTTCTGTGTCATCATGCGAGTCCTTGAAGTTGGTCACGAACTTGATCAATTTCAAGTATGATTTGATTCTTATAAGATCATCGTAAAAACATATTCTGAGAAATGATATCTTCTCGACCATAAACTAGAGATACAGACTATTCTTAATGTACTTATAGATCATTTCAGTCTACATACGGCACAGTCTCCACTGAAAAGTAATCATCAATTAGAGGATTTTTCTCATAAGACTAAAAAGTTTCTTTGAAATAAAAAAAAGTATGATCTGTATCGGATAATTTGGGAATTTGACGTGAATTCTGTAGTCTGGCCGATTATTTCAAGAGAAAGGTACAAAACAATAGTTTTAAATTTTGTTTAAATAGAATTTACTTGATTTTGAGATTATTTACAATCATTACAATAAATGTTTTGAACTAAAATAATAACTATTGTAATGAAATGATTATATATCAATAATTTCTTTTTTTTTTATGTATCATTAGGTTGAATTTAATATAGAAATTAGTGATGCTGGAGTTCAGTTTATTGAAGGACAACAATTATATAATAATACTGTTGTTCAACAATTTACATTATGTATGAAATAACTTTTATATTTTGTTTTATTTAATAGATATATTCATTTTTAGACTTTTTTGTACCAACATTTCAATGTTTACAACCACCATTAATTTATTTTGATGGTTTTATTTCTAGTAAAATTTATCTATCAGCTTTTCATTTTCAATTAATATCACATAAATGTGATTTACATAAATATACATGTTATTTACAAATGACAAAAGTACGAATAGATAAATTGAGTTTAACAAATATGACATTTTATGAAAGTGATACACTTAATATAAGTATTAATAATCCATTATTTTTTTCTCAACGAATTTCATATGAACAAAGTATAAAACCAACTAATTTTATTGATCGTATTTATGAAAAAGTATTAATGAAAAAAAAAAAAACCTTTGAACAAACTAAAAAAAGAAATCTTTCAAAATGAAATATTTAGGTGACCATTGAAAATAATATTTCATTATCTGATAATGAATTTTATCGTAATGCAACATGTATTAATAAAAATGTAATAACATCAAGACAATATATTTTATGTACACATGATTATTTCAAAAATGAATCCATAATAACAACATTTCGAATAGATATTATTTTATGTAGATATTCTAGAACAAATACTAATCAATGTATCTTTACTTTATATCAGTAATTAATTGATTTTAAAATATACATCAAATGTTTTTTTTTAATGACTTTTTCTTTTTTAATTTCAGACATGTATTAGACGAACATTTACGTTTATTCATACCAATTAAAGGTGATAATATAACATTTGTTGGATTTATACGTCTTTCAACAGTCTTACCAAATAATGAATGGTAAAGTTAAGATATTTTCTAGTGAAAAATTTATAAGACTTGATAATCATGTTGTTCACATTTATTGTCTTATGCAGTTTTGTCGTCGAACAAGATTTGATTATCTAGAATCAATGAGCATTATTCCATGAATGAAAAAGCAGTAATGATTATTGATATTATTTTTGATTTACTGTAAAAATTTCGAAAGATATCCTCTAATTCTATTGCCACTTAGCTAGTTTCATGTAAATATTCCTATCAATAGATAATTTATAAAGTATGGATGTGTATGAAGATGAGGCTCATGTCAGCATACCCACTCATACTCTTTTTGAGACCACAATGAAGTATTTTAACAAAAGTCTATCTGCACAGCTATTGAATCTACTGACATATCATTGCAAAAACTTATTAAAAAAATGTCTCAGTCTCAAAAAGAACTTTTCGATATTGATGTTGATTTTCGGAATACAACATAAAATGAATCATATAAGCAATAATAGAATGCAGACGACCATTATCACAACTTTTATTGTCTCAAGTTTTTCAATGAAAAATCAACTTAAGTGTATGATGTGAAAAGGCAGAATATTTCAGCAACAAGATAGGACAACTTTGGTTCGGTATTTATTCTTAAAATATGTCCAATAGATCAAGTACACTTTGAAGCGTCTATGGACCAGAAAAACAATGGAAAATCTGAAAGTTTTGAATCGGTAAAAATATGTCGTGTTTAAGAATAACAACAGAATCTGAAATAAATAGAAATTATAATAGTTAACTAAATTTATGAAATTTTCGATATCAGCAGTTGTCAGATTATATTCAATAATTTCAATATTCATTTCGAAGCTATTTATAAAGTAATATAGAATGAATCTCATTTCTTCTCCTATAATTTTTTTTCGAGTCAATTAGAGTGTTTTATATAGAATCGAAAAAAAATTATAATATTCTGTATTGAAAGTACTGGTAAAAATTCTTTTAATCAGAAACTACAATCTGATAATCATCTTTCTCAATCAGGACTAATCATCTTAATGAACACTATGATAAAATATATGCAAATCATCTAACAAATATGTATGATCATATGATTGAAATTAAATCGAATATTAATAGTCAAAATTCCATTATTCGTTATTATCAAATCATAACTGATCAAATTCGTCTATGTCATCTCATATGTCGAAATAATTGTGTACAACAATCACCAAATCATACAGATTATTATATATCAACATCAAATATTGAATTAATATTATTTTGTGTTAAATGTAATTTTAATGAAACTTATAATAAATTAAATCATTCAATTGTTTATTCTTACATAAAATTATCACGTGATGTTGCATTATTTAGAATTCAAATTACTAATAGAGTTCCACCAATATCTTTCAATTGTATTAATAATCAAAATAAAAGATTAATAGTCAAAGCAAAATTTCATTTAATTAATCATACTCGAACATTTTCTTGTTCAATTAATCCAATGATAATTTATCCATATCATGATGAAATTATTCTTGAATGCAATAATTTTAGTACACGTGCAGATATTATTATTTGGGCTATAACTAAATTAAGTAAGTGTTGATACAAATAGAAATTTGTTTTCGTTATGGACCTCACATTATATTTTTTTCGAATAAAAATATAGTCAAGTTTTACAGTTTTCTATCCTACAACAATAAGAGAGGAGAACACAGTCATTAGATAAGTTATCATAACGATCGTAAAAGATACTGAATGGCATTATCAACAAGACTTACACTGTTCTAGAGCATTTTAAGACCTCTCTTGAAATATGAATGGCTGGAATACGTCTGTAGAAGTGCTAAATTGTGCAGTTTTTGTTTTAATTTTTCTTAAATAAAAATTTCTATTCAAAATGTCAATGATGGTAGATGATAATGCATTGGTTTACCATAGTTATCATATGATTAACATAAAAAAAGCGTGGACTGATTAAAAAGCATAGAAATAATGGATACTTACAATAAGCTTATTTGCCAGTGAAATCAATAGTTAGAATAACAATAATATTAAAGTAAAAAAGCGAAATACGAAAATAAAAAGCAGCAAAGCAAACAAAAACTAAAGCATTACTAGAAAAAGAAAAATTTTTGTTCGACATGTAAAAATAAATAAGACAGATAATTTCTTTGGTAATTGATTATATGTGACAAACAACTATAATCTCCTAGAAATTTTTCGTTTTACATATTTTGCATTAGTATAATGAGGCTAAAGTAGATGTTTGCAAGGTAGACTTTTTACGTATCGTCTACTATGAGTAGAGTTCATCGGGTTCAAAATTTCCGAACTTGGTCCTGGATAACGAAAAACTTTAAGACATGAAGTCGACTGAGTCCAGTTCTACGACTAACTCAAGAGGTTTTAAGCATGACTGGAAATATTTTCTAACCCTTATCCTATTCTGACCTGTAGAGTAAAGTAGAGTGACCCTGTACATCTCTACGCTAAAAAACACATGTAAGTTGTACATTTTTGTCTGAAAGCGGCTATGCTGACAAGCTTTTCATTTTTGTTTCTTTCTCAATTAAGATCATGAAGAAGTTCGTATTTTACTTAATCCATTATATGTTACTAATGAAATATTTAATTCAAAAATTCGAATGAAAATTAATGGTATTCCACATGGTAATCAAGTCATATTAGAAATATCCTCATCATTATTTGGAATAATTGAACGTTACGAATTATTGATGATGAATCTAACTCATAAATTACTTATAAAAATGAATATAGCTTTAGAATGGAATTATTTTTCTAGTGTAAAAAATATTTTTGAAAAATTTATGTTTTTTTTTTCTTTTTTTATAAAATTTTGTTGTTATTTTATTTTTTGTCTAAAGGCATTTCAATTAATGGATCATTATTTAAAAATCTATGAAGATGATTTTTATCTGTTAAAAAATGGAACTAATCCACGTTTCTATTTAGTTGGTCTTAATCAAACATCATATTTAATTAGTGTAATTAATTATTATCGTTTAGTTTTAAATTATATTGATAAAGAATTACTTTATATCAAAGCAATAGATTTTTCACAAAAAATCTATTCAGCTGTTAGTATTGTTTAAAATAAGTTTTCTTAAAAAATAATGGAAATTGTTAGAATATGATTAAATGTCAAAAAAAGCAAATCCTAAAAGTGAAATCTCGATAATCCAATATCTACTTCATGTTTCTTCTGTTTTAATAAGAACTTCTATAAAAAAAAAAAAAACCATTAACACTAATGATTAAAATATTCTATTATCGAAACAAACTATTCGAAGAATCTTAATACGAAAAACGACATTAATTTTCATTTTCTAGATTTCAACACATTTATTCAAATATCAAATCTTCTATCCGGAACCAGACAATGTTTATCTCAATGATTATTTGTCTTTGTTAGTTCAATTATCTTCACGACCTAAAATCATCACTTATCAAACATATCATCTATTTCGGTATGAAACAAAAAAAGTAAAGTTTTTTATTCTTATTCTATTTCAATTTTCCGATTAACTAGACATTTAATGAAATTTATGTCCATGTCTTTACCTAACACATCACCTTCATTTCTTAGAAAATTATTTGATCTCTGTATAAATTTACGTATATATGTCACTGATCCAAAATCAATACCAATATCAACCATAATTGATACAAAAAGTTTATTTGAATTTAATCAAATAATTAGTCGAATTCTCACTATGATTCATACTGAATTAACATTAAATGGATATTCTGATAGACGAATGCAACAAATCGATAATGGTCCACTTGATTTTATTCTTAATATGACAACACCATACATTACAAAACGTTGGCTTCTAAAATTTGGTAAATCATCATCAATTTATCCTAATCAAAATATTAACAACTAAATAATTGCAATAGATAAGCAAAGACAAAAGAAAAATAGATTTTTCAAAACTTCATGAAAAAAAAATCATTAATTGATCATAGAAAAAGATAGAGCTTTGTAATTCAATTCAATTTATAAATTAAATTCCTATTGTCTACCAAATCATACTCACAGTTTTTAATTTTTTGGTTTTTATATTCATATAATGTTATTATGAATAGCTTGAAGTACTTACATGGTGTGTATGTATGTTAAATCATTAGTTAGTGATGTAACTTCACAAAATAAAGACATCTATAGTTCTGGATAATGAACTTTCCTAGAACTAATTTTTATATGTTACATATAGATTAATTTTCTGTAGATTCTTGGAAAAACCGAGTACTAGAGACCTTCATTCAAATGAGTTTTTAAAAAAAAATCCTAATTAAGGCAGTCTTTTTTGAATACTGAATTGTATATTCTGTAGATAAGTCCTAAGACTATAACGTTTCTATCCAAAGTTTTATCTAAAAATATCTAGAGTTTTCAAAAAAATCGATTTACTTTCATTAACGACTTGACAATGTACGAATATACAAATGAAAAATTGCTTTTATAAACGAATTTCAAACGAAAGAAACCCTTTTTCCGAATCTCTAAAAGAAAAAATGGATTTTAAGAAGAAATATTTTTTTTAGAGTCCGATCTTGTTAGACAAATATTCACTAATTACCGTTTAATTCGTTAGTGTTTTAATTAATTAATTTGAAATGATAGTCAGCTTAAAAAAACTAACATTCTTACATATGTCTGTGCTACAAGAACTTGTTCAGAAAAATGACTTTCACAAAGAATCAAAGTTAAATGAAAGATGGATATATTCTGCTCTATCTGAAATTATTCATATCTAGCTAATTCACCTATGTTCTTAATATCTCGATGTATAATTCTATCAATTTGAGTAAGGAATAGTAAGTTGATTTCTTTAGGTGTTAAGTTATGTAACATTATGTGCCGAATTTTTCTAGATTACATCTGCATCATTTCGTTCAAAAATGATCAAATCTATTCATGACTTGAGTTGAATTGAATTTAGTCAGCTTTTGAAAGAGAAAAAAATAAGCAAATATTGTAATCAAAAAAATAGAATAAATTAATTTTAGATCCATTAAATATTATGACAAATCCTTTGGGTATATTATATTATCCTCAAGAATATATACCAGTTTATCTTAAAACTTCTAAAATAATATCTGAAGATTATCTTCTTGGTCAATTATTATCAATTGAATCAAATAATATAAATAATTTAACATTAAATTATTCATCATATATATCATTTTCACTTGAACAAACATATTTAAATATATCGAATATGTTACAAAAATATTTTTCAAAAATCATATTAATTCATATTAAAAAAGATTATTATACACATAAATTTTCATTTCAAATGAATACAACAAAATTAGCTCGTAATATTTCATTAATTTTTTTTGATTTACCAAATTCTCAAAAATATCTATTTACAATATATATAGCTTATAATAATTCATGTTTAAAATCAAAAATAATTAATGATAAATATCTTAAATATATAATTAATATTGATTTATGGCAAAATAATTATTTTGTTTATTCAATACCAATTAAATCAATGTCAATTGTATGTGCACAAGTTGAAATTACATCAAAAGATGTATCTATTCGAAATTTAAAACGAACAGGATATTTTCTTGTTGTTGAAACAGGTTGTTATGCATTTAATAGAAATATTAATGAAGATTATTATACAAAGGTATACTACTTCATAGTCAAAAACTTCAATTTCTAGTGTGTATGATATGAGAGGAGAGACATAAATATTCGTATTAGGGATCTCAACGAAAATAGATATATGAAAATGATAAATGGACTTTATTTAATCGAATTAGAATTCAACTAGAAACCAACAATCATGTAGAAGAATCATCTTGTTACTTAAATTTTCTCATTATTAAACAAATCTAGATCTTTGAGCTTGGATAACGTACATGCAAGAATCAACAGAATTAATAATGGTTCACGTTGAATAAGAAAAAATCTTTACAACGTTTAACACATTCAAGAAGAGTTGCATCAATAACAAATAAAAACATTTTTATTCAAATAGAACAATAATGTTTAGATTGTCTTTTGAATCTTAATCGTTATTAAAAGAGATTACGTTCTTTTTATTATCGATTTATTCAAGTATTTGATACAAAGGACAAGGATGATCTTGATTATGAACCTAAAAAAAATTAGATACTCAATTCTTCTTTTTTTTTTGTCTTGGTTCTTCCATGTGACCATTTTCCTCTTTCGATATCCGATTCCACTTTATGGATATTCTTCCTTATTTGGCAAAAGAATAGTGTCCAAAATCAGAACATAATCATATTCACTACTATTACATATAACTATATGCCAATAAAGTATCTAACCAGACTAAACTCTTTAATGGTTAACTTTTCTTTCTTGAAACTAAATAGTAAACTTTTAGAAATTTAAAACGTTTAAGGATAACAGAAAAATTTTCCTAGTCAATTATGTTTAATAATTTCATATACAACTAAACAATAGTAAAATTATAATAGAAATTCGAAAACAAATCAATTCTATAATAATGAATTCGAGTTTCGTTCTAAAACTTAGATGAATCTTTACATGTAGGATTGTTCGAAAGAATTTTATTATTTTTTCAAAGAAAATAAATATAGCATAATTAATGTAGAAGACAAATGTCAGTAAAAGAAAAGATGTTCAATAAGACAAATTATATTAAACAAAAACAAAAACATCTTACTTGACAAAGAGGAATATAACAGATGTGAAATGCTAAAATCAATAGAAAGGATCACAGTTAGTAGAAGTTCGTAAAATTTCTAAGATAAGAGCTTAATAGTAATCACACTTTTCTAAAGCTACAATGAATTCTAAGCAATTTTACGAATTTCTGTTAGATTCCACTGAACTTTAAACGTTATCGGGTATAGAAAGTCTATGAATTTTCATAGATCGGAAAACCCACAGTTCCTTCTTTTCCATTTGATATATATGTACAATGATATTATATATTTATATATACTGATGTTGTGATATTAAAATTATAAGAGAACGGGAGCAGATTATTAAAATTATAAACTGCCTAAAAGTTCAGTTCGTTTATATGTGAAACCCTGTAACCTAAGGATTCAAAATAAAACACACCACATATCAAATCTTACGACAAATCAAGCACATTTCATGTTTGCTAAATCCATTTATCTTTTATCATCATCATTTAATGAGAAATATGAAACGAATGTGAATCTTAAAAGAGTATTTCACTTGGAATATTATTTTGTGTTTTATTTTTGTTCATTTTTAGTTACAAGATGATAAATGTCAATTGATTAATGAAAATAAAAGCTTATTAAATGGTCATTTATTATTACCAAATGCTCATGTAACATGTTATTGTCATACACATACAACAAAATACTTTGTTTTATGTCAACCAAAACCAATTCTTGTTGAATTCGAATTAAATGCTCAAACTTGGCTTCATTTTTACATTTATCTTTCTTTATTACTTTTTATATTTCTTATTCTTGGTCTATATGCTATTTATAAAGATACATTAGATGATTATGTATGTATTTAGAAGAAAAATTGAATTGACTAATATTTATTTTATTCAATTTTCTAGAAACCTTTTATATATTTTATTGCTGATAATCAAGTAGCTGCTGTTAATGTTCATCTTTATCAATTAACAATATTCACTGGTCTTCAACAATCAACATCAAAAGATTTTAAAATTTATATTCGTTTAATTGGTGAAAAATGTCATGATGAATTACATTGTTTAAATTTAAATTTATCAAATGTATTTCAACGTGGAAGTGTTAATCAATTTTTAATTACTAGTTTTATCGATATAGGTTATTCATATATATATAAGTCGGATGATCGAAAAATTTTTAGACAATATGTTTGCTCATTTTTTCATCCGGTAGCAAGTATCAAAAGCTATGAATTAAGAGAATATGGATGTACAAAAATTTGTCTCAATGAGATAAATTTCCAATAGAGCGATTATTGAATTTCGATTCGAAATGCGTTTTTTCGAAGATTCGAGAGATTCGTGCTTCGCACCGCATTTCGTATTCGAGTCGAAACTCGAATACCATCTAGTTTATTTTCCTTTGAATAAGTTACCTTAATTTTCGTTTTTTTCTAAGCATTCATTTGTGAAAAATCGATAACCGTTTTATGTTGAAAGAAGTTCTTGAATTAATGCTTGAGTTAAAGTATTAGTATTCTTGAAAAAAAATAGACACTCCATCACTAAGCCTACATTTTTTTATCTCATCTAAAATGTTTTCAAACACGATAATATAAACAAATATGTTCACCGAAAATATCTGCCCATAAGTTTCATCTAAACTAATTTTTTTACTCTTATCACAAATTTTTTTTACTGAGATAAAAGTTCTAAGGTCATATTTCGGAACGGACATCCTAACTCATAGCTTTTGACTGATCGAAAATACGTTGATAACAAATCAAAAATGAACAAACATCTTGTGTAAAAACCTTTCTAATCAATCATTAATTAATTTAATATGTTCTTTATTTAGGTCGAATTGTTGCATTGAATATGTGGCATGATGAAATAAATATTAAATCCGATTATTATATACGTCATTGTATATTATATGATTATAATTATTATCGAACATATTATTTTTGTTGTTATACATGGTTATCATTACGAAAAGGTTTTAATATGATTAATGAAATATTTTATGTTGCACAAGAAGTTGATCAATATGCATTTGGTCATTTATTTCTTTCAACATATTCATGGCTTTATTATCATTATCATTTATTAAATTCAATATTTAATAAACAAAAAATAAATACATTATCAAGAATATATCGTTTACATATTTATTTTTGTTTAATTATAATTCAACTTTATTTTATTCAAATTCTTATTATATCATGTCGAAATATCGTGATGAATCAAAGATGTGCTTATATTTTTCCATCATTTTTATTTTTAGTTGATCAATCATTTGTTGCAACTGATTGGATGGAAATCTATCAGGTAATTTTATTTATATTTTGTGTACTAAAATTAACAGATGTTAAGACTCTCTCTTTTCTCAACATTCAATCTTGAACTACATATATTTAAATTGCATGAGATTTTCAGAATACATTGGGACTGTAGTGAAGAGACTATACATGATAGCAGTGTCAAACATAGAACTTGTTAGGTTCGAATAATCTAAATACGAATTCGATTTTACTTGACTAAACTTTTTCAGTTTGAATATAAAATAAACTTGACAAGTAACATGTTTTATAGTCATAGTCAAATCTGGATAATATAATATAGGAAAATTTGGTTCATTTTTTTTTCTATTTTTCCAATGAAGTAAAGATAAAATAAAAGAAATTGAATTAAATCTATTATAAGTATAGAATGTTTTCTTAGACTCGAACCCATCTGACTGCAGTCAACATAAGGTTAATTAATATGTAATACATGCAGAAATGCATCTGTGTACAAATAATATAAAACTATATTTGCAATGCGAAATGTATAGAACTGAAATTAAAGAAAGTTTTTTTATGATTAAAAATTAAGTGCATGATGTAAAATCTACAAAAAAAAAACTTAATTTCTATCAGTAGTGGTGAAAAAAATAAGATGAACGTATTTTTGATTTTTTTTTCATGATATCAAGCATTTAACTCAAATTCGAATAATGATTTGAATAGGTAATGAGGTTCTCTATCAAATATGTTTCATCATACTCAGAAATTAATTTTGAAGAGTATCATCTTAATTTAGAATAAAATGAGATGCTTCTATATTTTGCTTTAGCGTTCTCATAAAAAAGTTCTAAGCATCAAAAATTGAAGTTTATTATAGAATTGCTAAAAGAAAAAATGCGTCTTTTTGTTTTTTATGATACGTATAACTTTTTAAGAAAAACTCGTAGAAAATACAACAACTTCTCACTTTCTTCCAGATATACGATGGTATTCTTAAAAACTTATTTTTCAATATGATGAAATACATTTGATAGATAACTTTTTTGACTATTCAAATCATTACATAGATATGAGTTTTAAATAGTTAGAATCACTCCCCCAAAAAAAAAGATCAAAAATATGTTGATCTTATATTTTTGGCTAGTGCAATAATGCAATACGATTCAACTTTAAAATTTTTTCTTTTCAGATCATTCGTCTCAATTTATTTCCATCACTTTTCATTGCACTATTTCTCAGTTCACTTATTGGTATTCTTACACCAATATTTGTATGGGGTTTAACATGTTTAACAAATCGTATTGAGCTCTATCGTCAATTATCAACAGCTACAAGACGTTATGAAAATTTTAATAATTTCCATGCAATTATATATACAATGGCATCAAGTATATCGGATTTAAATTCATATCGTCAAGATATAGAACAATTTAAATATATGCATAAATTTGATTTACAACATCGTTTTAGTATTAGTACATTAGGAGAAAATGATGAAACTAGTTCACAATCAGATAGTCAAATTGAATCAAATAATAATTCTTATGATACTCAACAATATAAATCAAATTTAAATCTTAATTCATATTCTTCAATGAAAACAAATCGACAAGTATTTATATTAATACAATAAAAAAAAAATTTCAAATATACTTTTTTTAAAGTTCCAAATAAATAAAATACAAACACCAATCGCTTTAAGAAATCGTTCAATTTCAATCTCTCAACAAAATAATAAATTTTCACAACAAAATCAATCACTCGATGATGATGAAGTTTCATTATCAACTGAAAGTTCTCAATCGAGTATACAACAACAAAACATCAACATACCAACAATTAAATTAAGAATTCATTGGTTAAGTTTTTTTTTTTTTTGTTTCTTACCAATAAATATTCTATTATTTTAGGCCAAAAAAATCTAATCAACCAACATTTAATATGTATATTTTCTATTTATTTATTTTCTATAGTATATCGATTATTCTTGGTATAGTATCGATTGTATCTATGTATTTAACAATGAAAACATTTACAGAAATAGAAAATTATTTTTTAACATCAGCAATTATATTTATACATATATTAACGATATTATTTACATTAGTTTTTGAAATAATTGTTATATTAATTATATCATTACTTAATGCAACATTTTTTCATATAACAGATGAAGATAAATTTATTTCATCTGTTGTTCAAGTAAATAATATTTAAAAATAAATAAAATTAAAACAATAACAAACTAATTGTTTTTTTTCCTCATTTAAGATTCCAATTGTATCTATGATTGATATTAAACAACATCCATTAAATCATACATTTACACTTAATCGAGATATTACATTAACTGATGTACAATTACGTGAACGTATTCGTGAACGTTTTCTTGAATCATCAATTATTCGTGCTGTTAGAGATGTTATTGGTTATATTGTATTCATGGTTATTATTATTATGGTCTTTGCTAATACGTAAGTTTTTTGTATACGATTTGTTCTTATTCTTTTCGATGTAAGCATAAATCTTTGTTGTAATAATAATGAGAGAACATCTGTACATATTAAATCGTTTTTCGACTGAGACAATATTCATTTTAGGAGTACTAGTGAGTAATAGAAAAATCTAGAATGGTTTCGTTTTCCGAGCCTTCATTCTTGAAATATCGAAATTTTACTGAATTTTTCTACAACAATCTGTAACCACGTAGAAAATCGACTTTAAACTTTTTATGAACAAAGCTTTCAATGATATTCGTTGATTCTGTAAGTTTTAAATTTTCGAAGATTTTCTTTCTGAAGATGTAAATATATGAAAAATATTTGCTTTTGCACATGAAAGAATTTTGAATATTGAATATCTCAGAATAGAAGATACTAGGAAACTTTTTCTTATTGAAAAATATCTGAAGAACAAAAGCTCGGAAAACCAAGCCATTCTAGACTTTACGACTACTCTCTAATATTTATCAAACGAATATCGTCTCTGTCGAACAGTGACTTAACAGCTGGAGAGCTTCCTTCGTCAGATAATTAATGTACGAAAACACAATGAACATGACTTCAAATTAATTAAGCATTGATTATGAGTGACTGAGTACGAAGATGATAATTTATAGCAGGATATTCAACTAAATTTTTACGACATATATATATATATTTATAGCACTACGATTTTTTCAATAACATGCTGAGAATCATTAAATTACATGGATACCATGACCTCAGTATTTTTACTTGAGTAAAGTCATCTAGATTTTTCTCATTCTTTATGTCAATTCGACACAAGAAGTTTTTCTATGGTTTTATTTGATTAAATTCTAAAACATAATACTTTTTACCATTAAGAATTTCTTATTTATTAGTTTATTAAATATCAAGTTTCTTAGTTCTATTCTTTACTTGTAACTAGACTTCCATCTAAAGCCAATAATAGAATTCAAAACTTTCAAACTTATCTCATTAATTATGAACTATAGCGATAAATTCTACGGAAGTTTTGAATTGATTCTAACACATAGTATTAACACGGTTTAAGAAATTTGTCCTTTAATATTCTCTAGTATCGTTTCTCAATTTCAACTTTGCATTAGCGAATTTTAGCTTCTATTGTCCATTTCAGAGTAAAGTGAACGTGGGCATATTTTGAATAGTTTTAAAACAATAAGGGAGAAATAATTTGGTTTTTCAACACTATCTACAGTCGACATTACTCTACCTTTTTGCAAAGTCAATGAAAAATCTCAGTAACTTTTCTCCTTTGACACACCCTATGCTTTATAAATGAGCTTAATCTATCATGAAAACAAAACATTTTCTCATCTATAAGATAATGGACAGATAATCCCGCTTCTGCTCTATAGATCTACACAAGATCAAGATCAATAACTGTTTGCTTTCAAAAAAATATATAGATTTTACTGAAGGCTAGCCATCCAATTTTTTTAAAACCCAAGCAACTAACTAAATATTTTCTTTTTATAAGTTTTTAGTCATCGTTAACTTCATGACATCATTTATTAACCTCGGGAGCTTTTTTTTCTGCTAAAAACGTTGTCAAAAACCGTACATTGAATTTATTCTTATGATAATAAGTCAATATGTTCAAGTTAATTCAATTGATAACCTATTATATAATAGTGTATAACGGAATAATTTCATATAATATGATTCTATTAAATAAGCAGTGCAGGTCCCTGTTCTACATCTGTCTTGATATTTGGATAGCATTGACTTTGATTTGTTTGGAAACAATAGTGGAGGATCCATATTCTCGTAAACAGACAACCAGAGAGCAACCTGAAGGTGTTGGGTAGGGATGTGGATGGAAAGCATCTCTAAATTAGGGAGTTACCACATCTCAGATCGAACACCCACACCCACGCCAACACATACTTTCTTCAATGCCACACACACCCAAACCTCTCAATGTATGATTTTTGATGACGTTTCTAGTGTAACTGAGATTTTTCACTGACTTTGCAAAAAAGATAGAGTAATGTCGACTGTAGATAGTGTTGAAAAACCAAATTATTTCTCCCTTGTTGTTTTAAAACTATTCAAAATATGCCCACATCCACTTTACTCTGAAATGGACCATAGTTGTAGGTTTATTTTTGAATATTTAAATATTGTTTTTAGATCAGAAAATATTGAAACACGTTTAACAATGAGACAATACACATTGCAATTACTTCTTCGTGAAGATATTTTTCAAAATATTGATCATATACCGGATACTATGGTTAATTTTATATTTCAAAAAAAGAACTTTCCACAAAAAAAAAATGTTTATTCTTTAGGATTGGATTAGTTACTTTATTGAAAATCGTCTTTTTCTTGAACATAAAAATTATTTTTGTCAAAAAGATACATGTAATTATGTTCAAATTCGTATGTCTTCTTATGTTTTTCTTTTGTTAAGTAAAATTTATATTTTTTTTCAATTCTCTAGCTGATTCTCCATTATATTTAAGTAAAAGTATTCGTATACGTCAAATTCGTGTTGAACGTAAAAATTGTCATGAAAAAATAACTCATCTATTCTATCCTTTAATACCACCAAGTTGTTTTGTTGGTGGAAAAAATTTAATGAATGATAAAAAATTTGTGATTGGTGGTCAACGAAAATGTTCCGGTTGGGAAGAACCTTTAATATCAAATAATTTATGTAAAGATATGTGTAATTATACATCAATATGGTCAGCATTACCCTATAAAAAAATAACCAAATTTTATACAACATATGAATCACCATGGTATTATATGTTTCATTTATTACCAAAAGAAACAGTATGTTTAAATAAAAACAAAATTTTTTTTGATTCTTTTTTTGTTTCGTCTAAAAGGTTGAACGTTGTAATCGTAAAAGAAAATATTATGATTTGAATAAATGTAAAATCCATTCGTTTCTTTTTTTAATCTTATTTTCATTATCTAAAACTATTTATAGATAATTGGTTAGATGAAAAAACTTTAGTTTTAATGATTGAAGGAAATTTGTATTCTCCTCAAACATCATCAATGATTTCGTTTGTTTTAATTATTGAAAAAAATCAATATGGAATGATTGAAAAAGATATTTTTATTGAAGTATCTGATTATATATTAGCAACAATCGATGATAATACATTACAACAGAATGATACTGAACAAATATCAACAAATGAAAGCGATACTGAAAAACAATTTGTTATGACTAATTCCTTATTTGCTGTTTTAGTATTTGTAATTGTAAGTAGTTTTTTAGACAAAAAAAAAGAACAAAATTGTCTTCAAGTTTAATCATAAATATATCTGTACGCTAGAAGAAATTCAAAAAGTAGATGTTTTAAAGTTCAGTAATTAAAGACTACATAGAAATGTATAAGAGTGCTTGTACATTTCATCTGTTGTTTTTTTTTACTCTAGTGATATGTGGAATCAAACATTTCAACTCTGAAATTATTTTTGATTAGTATATATGTACTTCGTTTTGTGATACTTATTAATATGAGAATGTCTATCGGATGTGTTCTTTTATTGATAATAGTTCATGAATCTATAAAATAGTGTGTTTTTGTTCATTACACACCATATAAAGCATAAATTTATGACTACGTAAAAATAAAAATACTTGACTATTTTGCTCATGTAAATTCGACTTCAAGACAACTTTATTTAGTGACTGCAATTCTATCGAAGTCAAATTTAACGAGAAAAAAAAACATTTATGAAAAATTGAGTATCAGTATTTCAGTTATTATAGGTATATGACTCTTGAAAGGTTTACGAGGGCATATTCATACATGTCATTATGTTCTTTGATCCGAACTATTTTAGACATCTGCATTAGATTCAACTAAATGTCTCACTAATAAAACAAATTTAATATCAGAGGTTTTTAGAATCATAAGTTTTATCTTTTGTATTCACTGCACAAATTGATATGTTTTCGTAAGTCGATTGGTTTCTGTTTAAGGTCTACATTCATGCGAAAAACTTGGAGTCAATCTTGACTCTGACTTTTTCTCATCTTGGTAAAACTCAGAGAAGACGTGGACCGAATCTTCAAAACACATCAGTTTGTATAATAAATATCTAAGAATTACACTCATCATTCAAAAAAGCACTAAAACTCAACCTAACCTACTGGTAGATAACTTAGAAAGTTTCGAACACTTCTAAAAATGATTCTGGTGTAGACCTCTAGATTATATGTATCATATAGACCTTACTGAACTATGAAAATCTTGAAACAAGTTTGTGTCTCGAGATTAATCCTATCGAGTTCTTACATTTTAATGGTATTGTTTTAATGAATGTGCAGGACAAGGTAGGATAATCCTGCGTATCTTTATTGTGAATTTTAGCTTGAAATTTTTGCATAGAGAAAAAATTCGATGAGAACAATTTCCTATGAGAGTTACAGATCCTTCAATTGTTGCTATCTGTAGATATCATTATGATACAAACATGTTTCTTACATTGCTCATATATAGTGGCAGTTTTCGATGTTCTTATATTAGAAAAGAAACAATAAAAACCTCTTAAAATAAACTATTCTCTTGGAAACGATTCTCTGTGGGGAACACTCCATTTAATTTTTAAAAACTACTATCAAAACGTAATAATTCGTCAACAATGTTCTGATAGACCCAAGTCAAAAATGAATCAACACGTATAAGAACGTTCTATTATTAGATCAAAATTTATATTTCATCTTTTTGAATAAATTAATGCATAATTTTTCTTTGAATATATAAAAAAATTAATCAAAATTGAATATTTTAGTTTACAACAAAATTATTCGATCTAGCAAAATTTACAAGAAATTTTGGTTTTTATGGTTTTGTTTTTTTTCTTCGTACATTATCAAATATAATTGATGGTATATTATTAATACTTTGTTGTTATTATTTTTTATTAGTTTATTTTGATCAAAATGTACTTCAATTAAATAATCTAATACAATCATTAAATATTCATCATTTATTTGTATCATTTCGTGTATTAATTATAAATAATACAATATTAAATCATTTAATTGGTTTAATATGTTTATTTGCTATATTTAAATTACTTTATTTACTTAAATTTAATCCTAAAACATATTTACTTGCTGAAACAATGTATAAATCAGCTGAAGGTTTTATTTTAATATTATGTTTTGCATTTTTAAATTATTTTATATTTACATTAATTGGTCGTTTATTTTTTTCAAATGAAGAAAATTTTAAAACATTTTTTGTTGCTTTTCGTGTTGTTTTAATATCATCAATAAAAGATGCAGCATCAACAGATAATGTTATATTAGGTACAATATCAAGAACATTATGGCAATTTTTTCTTTGGGTTTTTTCTGCAAAAATTATTGAATATTTTTTAATATCATTTGTTGTACAAAAATTTTCAAATATTAGAAAAACACATCAATTAACAGATGAAGAAAGAATTGTTGGAAGAATATTTCAAACATTTTGGACTTATTTTGCTTTTAATAAAAAATAAAATAAATAGAAATTGTTCGTTTTTTGTTTTCTTTTTTTTTGTTCAACTTATTGACCAATTGAATTTTAGTTATGATGAAAATCACAAGGGAGCCAATTTGTATCGTCGATTTGACTAATGATCAAGCATACATACATTTTTGAGATGTCCTCGTTTGTTTTTAAGTGTTGTCAAGTGGGAATGAGGCAAAGTAAAAGATCCTATTAAAAATTGTGTTGAAATGAAAAGAATGTCGGATGGGTGTACAATATGGAACTGATTTCTTTTTCTTTTTTTTTTTTTTTTTGTATTCTCATCGATGATGAGTACCTCTTATACGATTGTAAAGAATAAGATCAGAAAGAAATAAATGATGATCATACCGAAATAGACTGTAGGGATCTGGACTAAGTGATAAGTGGTTAACAGTTTTTTGTTGTTGTTATTCTTGCAAATTTTTCGTTCTGTTTTTATTTAAATAATAAGATTAGGAATGGAGAATTAATATGATTTTCGGAAAAAAATTCTAATTCTTTTCCTTCTCCATTATGAAACAAAATATTAATTCCAAATGACTAATATATATATATATATATATAAAATAAATCCTCTATCACGCGAACAATGTGTCATCCTTTAATATGTTCATTTTCCATTTAAAAACGTCTTATTCTCTTCCTACATTATCATAAAAGAAAAAAAAAAGTTAACGGATGTACTTTAAGCCTGCGGGCTTCTTTTTTTTTTCTTTTTTTTCTCTTAACAGACGCTATGATTTGAGGAAAAAAAAACATACATAACAAGCAACAGAAACATGCATTGAATAATTGAAGGGGGGAAGGATGAGTTGTTAAAAATACAATACTAAAAAAAAACGTATGGTAGAAAAAGAAATCTCCACCCTCCCTAATTATCGCTTCAGTTTCCTCTCGGCAGGCATGAAATGTAAGCAACAATTCGACCATTTGTTTCGTCTGTCGCGTGTTCGGACTCGATTAATTGGTTAAGTGACTTCAATTAATACATATACACACGCAAATATATTTATTTTTTCTCGTGATCAGTACACACACACACATATACAAAAAAAAAAGAAAGAAAACGAAACAAGATTAAATGAAAAAAAAAAGAAAGAAAGAAGAAAAATATTGTCAATGACAATCTTCATCGTCATCATCATCATCATCTTCACCACAATGATTTGTATTTATTTTCACACTTGTATTTGTACTTGTACTACTTACATGAACATTTCTCATATGTTTTTTTAAATCAAAATTTCGACAAAAACCTTTTGAACATATCATACATGAATATGGTTTGATTTCTGAATGTGTATACATATGAAATTTTAAATTATATATTTGATGAAATGCCTAAAATTTAATGATACAGAAATTTGAGATGGAAAAACAAAAAGAACATTCATAAATCTCTACTTTTGAACATATTGAACATTGATACTGTTTTATAGATGAATGTGTTAATTTATGATTTTTCCAATTACCTTTTTGATGAAAACCTTTACCACAAAATTCACAAATCTACAAAAAAAACAATGAATAAACTTTTTCTTTTTCTTATGATAAAAATACCCATGGTTTAAAATTTTGATGTATACGCATATGTGTATTTAATGTTGATGAACGATTAAATGCTTTACCACAAATACGACAAGCATGTGGTTTTTCAGATGTATGAATGATTTTATGACGACAAAGTGTTGATGCTTGTCGAAAACCTTTACCACATATCTAAATGAAAAAGATTAAAAATAAATATTTCAAATTTTCTTTTTTTTTGTTTCTAAACCTTGCAAACAAATGGACGAATGCCGGTATGTACTGGCATATGTCGAACTAAATTATATTGAGCAGTAAATACCTAAAAAAAAAATAGAAAATTTTCATTGGAATGAAAAATAAAATTGAAGTTTACTTTGCCACATTGTGTACATGGGTAATTCTTCAGTTTATCATTTTCTTCACTGTTCAATGTTCTATTATGTTTATCATCACCTGTACTAGTTGAACATTCACCTTCTTCATCATCATCATCATCATCATCATCTATTTCTTCATCATCGTCGTCATCATCATCATCAAGTTCAGTATGACGACGACGTATAGATGATGATGATGTATCCATATAAATATCTTCATCGGATATATCATCATTTTCAGTTGTTGAACTTGTTATTGTTGTTATTGATGGTGATATTTGTGTTCGTTGCATTTGTTGCCAAACTTGATTCATTTTACTTAGAAATATTAATGAAGAATTCAATGGAATATTTCCATTAGAATTTTTATTTGTTAATTGAGATAAAAATGACCAACATGGATGAGTCATTTTTGGTTTAACTAATGGTATTGGACGAGAAATCGCTGCTGCTGATGATGATGATGATTCAGATTCAATAACAATTCGTTTTAAAGAATGATTTATTATTGGATTTTCTTTTTTATTTTCACATGTTGATGTTGTTGTTTCAATTAAATTTCGAATAGAAAATTTCAATTCATTGTTCTCAGCTTTTGAGATCATTATATCTGGAAATCACAAAAAAAAACGCTCTCATGATGTGAATCTATTAGATGAGCTGTCGCGCTTTTTCAGAGTAGCTCTTGACAGAATAAGTTTCGGCACCAGTTGGACAACAAGAACATCTTTACGATTGAACTGATCATAACTTCCAATTACCTGTATGATGATTTTATCTTTATTTAACTTGCTGATGCCCGAATGTAATACGTGTATAGTTAGAATAAAAAAAAAAGAAGAACCACCTGCAGACTATCGTGTCAGTAAAACGAACACGAGCGAGAAAGAAGAGAAAGGAGCAACAGCAGGGTTAAGTAAAAAAGATGACGATGAAAAAGAAGAAAAAAAAAGAGGCTAAAGTAGTAACGCACAACGATGAATGGTCTCTTGGCTGGTTTGAATGAATAATGCACAAATCGTATGCGTGCGCACTTCTATTTGTGTCTTTTTTTTTTGTTAGTAGTTGTAAAGAAAAAAAAGAAAAAAAAAGAGAAATGTCTACTGATTTCTCATTGGTTGTATATTTCTGATTGATTGGTGAATTCTTTTTCTCTCTTACACTCAAATCCATTTCTTTTCTCATCCAATTGAAAAAGAGACGAATACAATTTGCGTGATTTGAGCAGTTCATTCACCTGAAAAGAAAAAAAAAAAAACGAAAGAAAAGTCCTAAAATTTTCTCTTTTCGTGAATGATGCAAGCTTGAAGAGAGTATTGTCATATTCATTCGTCCCTCCTTCATGCATACTTGAACACTAATCACCCAATACGACTATTCCTTACAACGGTATGCACAACAACAACAACAACATATAGGTAGGCACCCTGGTGTGTCTAAAATGAGACCAGAATGAGTGAAAATGTATTTGTGTGTGTCACTCTTTTCAACGTCCAGCATCCTAATCAAGATGACTATCATCAATATTTTTTTCCAATCAGGATTAGCACATAATTGTTTTCAATAACAACTGGATCATCAATCTGATTATGATCTTTTCTCACACCTGAAAACTAAATTAGAAAAAAAAAGAATTATTTCGTTTATTTTCTTTGTCTAGGAAGAATATGTGAAGAAATTTAACTTGTAAATTTCAATTAGATCGTTTGATCTTGACGATAAGTGCATTGAAACATCTTGTTGATAGTCGACAACGGCTAATCAAATTTTGTTAAAGAGAAAAAAACAATTTATATAAATGCGCGTCGCGCTATACAAATGCTTTTCTTATAATAAAACAAAGAGAATAAAAAGCATGATCGTCATTTCTCTTTTTTTTTTGTGTCTTTATGTTCTCTCTGCGTGACCATATCAGCACTCTGTTGTCGGCAATGAAATCAAACAAATTTCTAAGGCAGCTGCAAAGCTTGTCATGTGCGTGTGTCTATTTGATAATGATTTTTTTTTGTACTTTTTTTGTTTTATCCAAATCAAATCAATGAAAAACTTGTTTTTTTTTTTGACTTTTATTTTACAATATATGATCTTAATAAATGGTTGAATGAACAAGTAATCGTTTAATATACCATGAATATATGTACTGATTTACAGTACCTTGTTGAGTATGTGATTTTCAATAGAAAAAGAACATAGAGTGGATTATCAAGTACATAATAGCATTATGTGAATTATGAATTTTTTTGATTGAATAAAACCAACAATCAACGATTTATTTAAACGTTTCAAATAACTGTTTTATATGGAAACAAATGATAAAGATCTTAGATACAGATATTGACACTCGGAGTAATCATGATTATTATGTATACGTTGACAGTTGTATGACAACATTAATGCCAGAAGAAAGCATAAAAGATAGCTATTTAATAAAAAAAAACTTCTTTTTTTTAGATGTCTCATTTCATTTGCTATTCTATTTCAAATGTATTTTAACTTACACTCGTCAAACAATATGATGTTAATAATAAATTTCTACTGATATTAGATGCATTAGAAATTATATACAGATTTTTCATAATGCATTTATAAATGAACTATTCAGTGAAATGAAAAGTGCATATTTTATTGTTGACATGTTAGTTCTTTTCATAATAACATTTTATCAAATTTTTAAACACAGTAGTGGGCAAAAGTCTACCATTCTCTCGAAACTCGCCTATGATACATGCTACTAGTAGAAAAATTTGTCTACCTATATTTCACTAAGAATGTAGGTTTCAAACATTTTAAGTGGAACGCGAATTATAATGGATGGTAATGAATCGCATCTGTTCATCATTTTCGTCATTATTTAGTGGTTTTTTTCTGGTTATCTATCGAATTAGTTTCATCGAAGTTGAATAAGTCTTCCAATAATGGTTATGTGAATCAAGCTGAAGCTTAATCATAAACTTTTTCTGTAGTTCAAATTTCATGAAAGAACTATTTACTAAGAAAAGAATGTCATTTGAATAATCTTTGTCTTGGTACAGACGATTCAGACATGCTAAAATATCAAGATTTACTCATGTACTTGATGATAGGTAACGAAAAATTTAGTAGACAATTTTTTTTAAGCTAAAATCTTGAAGCAAAGATGGACGTCCTCCCCATCATAATTCTCATTGTATTTAAGCGATCCAGATGACCTCCTGTTGTTGAACTAAATTCTTAGTGCAGTATGTCCATTTAAGCTTTCAGACTTCTAGTCTTTATAGTAGCTGAGATTCAGGACAATGGAAGACTTTTGTTCACCGCCGTACTACAGTTGTTACATTTGTTTCTAAAATTTGATTAGAGCAAAGTATCAAATGGAATGAACAGAACTTTTTGAATATCATGTATCGAAATAAATGGGAACACAAATCTAATAAAAATAGGTTATGTTATTGGACGAAACTATTGCTACATTAGCTTCACATGCGTTGCATCCACTACCTAGATTACATTAACGGTGACCTTTCTTTTCTTTTTTTTACTTTTTCTGTTCACAAAGACGGTACAATCAATCAAGTTGAGATTTTTATGATAGATAGAGCATTGAAAATAAGGAGGCATATGTTAGAGAAAACAATTTTCACGCCGATTTCTGAAACACTCTGGTTGCTCACAATCTCCATCCAACTTTGTTCAATTGAACTCAAATTTTTAGTAATAATTCCTGAAAATATACTATAGATATAACATAGGTCCTTTTCGTATTTGACTTTTCCATTAGGATTTACGCAAACTTTATATCTATTTCGAAGCTTTTTGGCACCGAACATTAACGTATTTCAAATCCTAAATGAACCAAGATTTACTTTTTAAAAATTCATTTGGAATGCTTCCCTAACGCAACACAGTTTGAAGTTGCGTCTGAATCTAAGAAACGTTTCATTTGAGCTATGTCTAGATGCGTGTCATCTACAAACATATTTACATGACAAATAGCTTAGTCCTCAACAAACAAATAACAAAACTTTTTTCTTTTCATTTAGTACATACATACTTATCGCAATTCGATTACTTTTCATCGATTTATTCTAAGAATAATCTTCACCATAAACTGATAATTTTATAGTATAATGCAATCAAAAGCATATTCAATTACTTCAAACATATCTGATTGTAAATTTTCATATTATGCTCTAGTTTACATCATTATCAACAAAAATCATTAACTTTTTATCTATTACAAGAATGATCTTATTCAAAATCTATTTTTATAATCAAATTCGTATCGGTTCAAATCATGTATATTATTTAAATAAACATTTATTTCAATGAAGAATGCTTTTATTATGATTACCAAAAAAAATCAATGATTAAATGCTTTTTTCACATATTTTATATTTAGCAAAAAAAAATAGTTCAACTTGGCGCAGATCATCTAATACCATCCTCCATATCCATAACCATATCCACCACCATAACCTCCAACTCCAGGATAACCTCCATACATTTGACCATATGTTGGATTTGGATTTCCACCAAATCTATTATCAAGATATTCACCATAATAACCTACCATAAAACAAATCATTAAGAAATATTTAGTTTTTTTTTCTTTTTAGGATTGCTATTTTCTTAATCATTATGAACGAAAAATAAACCATTAATAAGTTTATGATAAAAATTGAAAGTCTATTATAGAAACTGACAATATCGTTATCAAAATTACAGTTTCAAATTTCTAAACGAACGAATCGAAAGAGTTTATCATCGTAGTAGTCAGAAAAATTATTCAACATGGTTTATTATGAAGTTTTACAGTTGTAACAATAGTCGAAGAAGAATCTAAATAAGGATTCAAAGGGCTCTTATCTTCTGAGTACATGTTAGCAAAAGACAATGGTAGAAAACTCAGAGACCTCTCATGCCTTAAGAAAATTGTTTTGTCGTGTCCTGAAATCGGCACAGAACTATTTTTTTTCACACTAAATTCCGAAAACTGATGATTAAGTTTTTCCGAAACCTTGTCTTTTGGGATCTCGTAATGAGAATATTTTCATATGTGCTTGCCTACAGTACATATATAGCTAAATACATTAGTACAAACATATTATGACTCTTACTGTTTAATCCACCAGGAATATGTCCTTGAATCCACATGTCAGATGCAAGTTCTCCCATCATATAAGAACCACCACCCCACATAGTTATTGTATTTCTAAATGAGTTTAATATCAAAGAATACTTCTCTGAATTTGATCAATGAATAAAAACTGATTTGATTGCATTTATTTATATACTATCCCATTGCTATTGTAACATGACAAATATGAGTAAGACAAACTTTTGAAGCGTAACCAAAACTGATTTATTGAGCTGATGGAGGTGTTTGAAAAGAATAGATATTATGAACTTTGTTTTTCGTTGATTTCTATTGATTTCATGTACAATCTTACACATTCATGTTATGATTTTATTTTCAAAACTAAAGTTAAACTTTTTCTCTTACTTTTCTATGAAATGTCTTTCTGAAATAATATTGAATTGGTTCCTTTTTTCTTTAATTCAATGAGTAAATATGTTTTTTTAATGTCAAGAATAAAATGAGTAATCATAACATTTCATTACTAATTTTTTTACCTTGTCAAGGAAGAAATGTTTTCTTCTTTTTTACTTGATAGTTATACTTATCAAAACGGAATATTTTGATTAATTCAACAAATATACTAGGAGCAATGGTTTCATACTCGCTAAAGGAATTCTTGATTTTTGGATGGATAATGATAAACTAAAAGAACTATATGGACAACAGTAATTTTCACTAATGAAAAATATTCAGTGTTTATTATTTATTGTATACGATGATTTAAAATAGAAAGTTAGAATGAACATCTTTTTTTAGCTTAAATATTTTCAAAGAAAGACTCGAATAACCTTTTGTCGATCAAGCTAATGCCGAGAAAATGAATACATAGTGATGACCGAGTTGTCTTTTTACTATACTTTGAGATACGCTGAGTATTAGTTGCCAATTATTAAAGAAGAGCAGAAAGTAACGAACCAGTTAAGTGTCGATTGCATTTCGAATCATGGATACGTAGATTATGGTAGAATTATCTTATCTTTGATTAATAATTCAAAAATAGTCCGGTAGAAGTAAATGATATTTTACATTTCATTCAACGAAAAAATAAATTTGTGTTAAACTTTTCGCTGCATCATAAAAGGATGTCTGAGAGGTGTGCTTATATTAAGAAAAAGTTGAGATTGAATATCTTTGTTAAAATACTTGTGTTTAAATTAGACAATTATTTGGACGTGCTAATATGTATAGAAAGTCTCTTATAGTAAGTCGTGTTGTACATGCAAATAACCCCTACCATAGAATACTAAAGAAATCATTTATTGCTGTAATGTTTATACTAATACAGGTATCAAATGCCAAATGTTTCCTTCAACTCATTTTCTTTTTTTTATTCATCAAAAATACCTGATTTTCTTAATGATAATATAAAGATATCTAAATCTTTTGCACATAATCATTGTTGATTAGTTACATATTCCAAAAGATCAATATCCTAAACTGCAGCATCATTTACAACTCGATCAAATCATACAACAACATTCATTGACTGCGATTTGTAAATTACTGTCGCTCACACACTTCAATACTACCGAATGCCACATGAAAGATTATCGTCCTGCGCTTAGTGGTCGTCGACATTAGTCACTTATTAAAGACAAGAGAAACAATATTGATGAACAAAAACTATACTGATATGCTGTATTCTATCAACATGAGAACATAAAAAAATGCATTGCTGCAGATCCATGTTATGGAAGTGTAAGAATCATACAACAGATTGTTAGTTATAGAGAAAGAGCGGCAACACACAAGAAAGAAATTTCTTCTTGATGGACAGATTTGCTATAATTTATTTTCTATGGATAACATCCCGTCGAAAGAATCGTTTGATTTTTAGAAAAGTATTTCAATTAAGATATTCAATCAAAACTTTTTCTCAACACATCCACAACTCTCAAACACCTTTATGTTGTATAGCGTCCACTTAACCCGCAAAATTGTATTTTGTTATTAGAATGAATTGTAACATATCATTCACTTCTAAAGAAATATTTTTGAATCATTAATCAAAGATAATTCTAACACAACCTATGTGCTTATAATTCGAATTAAAATCGAATAGTTGACTCCTTTCTTACTTTCTACTCTTCTTCAATAACTGAAAACTAATATTCAATAAATTCTAACGCCAGAAAAAAAAGACAACTCGGTTACCACTAAGTGTTCATTTTGGGGTTATTAGCTTCATTCATGAAGAGAGTTATTCGACTATTTGCTTCACTGAGAAATATTTCAACTAAAAAGAGATGTTCATTTTATTTTTCTATTTTGAGTCATCGTATACAATAAACAATAAGCACTGAATAATTTTCATTAGTGAAAATTACTGTTATCCATATTGTTTTTTTAGTCTATCATTATCTTTTCAAAAATCAAAAATTGGGTGTGGGTGTGTAATTGAAGAGATATCACGCACCCACATCCACGCCCACATCCTTTCATTTCGAGAAAATCTTTTCCTAAAAGCTATTGAAAGGAACTGTCGCTTTTTCCATCGACTATATCTCGTCTGTTCTATCGTGGACATCAAGAAGATAAAATCAATTTCTGAGACCAGAACTTATGTTGTAGTTGGCATTCAAGCTGTTATCTAGCTGCATCTTGGATTCTGATTGTAAGTTAGTATTTGTCTTGCAGCAGCTACTAGAAATTATGTGCAATAGATAAACATCACTAATAAGGTTCTATCTGTAAAATGTATGTTTCGAATTGAAATTCTTGTTATATTCATTAGGTAGTATTCAGTTATTTATCGTTATATGTTTACAATACTCTACAGAAATTTTGCAGTTCTGAAGGTCCCTTCTGTTTCAATGGAAATAAAAATCTTATCTCATATAATACAGAAAATGCGGCTGGTGAATAATGTAAACGTTATGTCCGATTTTTCAAGAACCTTTATTAGAATTTCAATTTACTATTGGATAGAATATGTCATCAAAGCACTTCGATAGATGTATACAAATGGAAATCTAAGGCCTTATTGAGATATAACATCCCTTACATAATCTTCGATGCAGATTCGCTCACATTTTTAGACTTCTATATCGATTGTTTGGTTCTTATCCGAAAATGTTGATAACTGACGAGAGAATACCGTTAGGTATTGAATCGCTCCTGGATAGAGACTAAATTCATTCGATGAACGTTGATGAGCGCTAAAAGAAATCTCTCATAATTTAGTTTTGCAGGTCTTCATCCTTATAGTCTCCCTGAGATCGCTCAAAAAGTTGACTTTCGAATTTCGACTCGAAATTTTTCACATTAATATTCTCACTGGGGCTACTGCATCGTGAAAACTTCAGCTTCGTTTTTCGTTGGTTCTGTTGTGTGAAAAAGCAAATTTTCTGCTTCTAGTTGTATCTGACGATAGAAGTAACACAAGATGTGAAAACTTTTGCAATAAATTAGTCATCTTGAGCACTTTACTTATCTAATATTTCAAGTTAAACCTGAAAAATGAACTTTCAGCGTAACCTGAACAAGAACTATGAGGCTTTGTTGAAGAATTCAGGGAAAATATTTTTTTTAGAAACCTTAGAAGCAAAATAGGTTGGATAGGTGCAGATAACCCTCATAAAATGCGAAGCATAATGAGAGAAAATACCAAGTTATTAACTGAAGTAATTATACGAATGGATCTTGGCTCTCTTTTTCTAACCATTGTGCGAGTGGCAGAGCCTAAAATTTTATGAACAAGAAGCAAAGGGGAAGAGGGTGTGGATGTAGAAGAGATCAATGCCCATATCCACACCAGGCTTGCCGATTAGGGGGGGGGGGGATGGGGGGGGATTTCCCCCCGCTAAATTCGGATCCTTTCTGCCAATTTTTTTCCGCTGTATTTCTACGTTTTTGTGCTGAAAAATATTTTTTCTCCCTTTCGTACAACCTATGTATAAACAAAATTTAAGAAGATGAATTTCTCAAAATTTCCTCTCCGCGATGCATGCATACTTATTGATTAGTGGTAGCAATGCGAACAGTTTAGTCATATTTTCCCTCTTTCTGGCAAAAATAGATAGATAGCATCAATAATATATTTTCTGCAAAATTCCCGCAGAAAATCAACTTGAGAGTACTTTTCTTTGGCAGAAAGCTCATATGTACTCTGCCTAAAATTTTTGGTGAATTTCGGTCTGCTTTACTGTTCATTGTCGGGTTGTGATTCCAACTGTGTCCAATATACGACGTGTAAAAGTGAATTGAACTTATTTTATTCAAAATAATTTATATTTCAACGAACCCATTCGTCATCGGCACAGTGAACAATAAATATGTTATATATAAAGTGCTGCCAATGCGAATTTCAAGCAAAATTTTTTTTTTCACCTTTCTTTTACGTCATTTGATAGAGTGTGAGCTGCTGATAACGAAAAACTACTTTTTAGCGCCAGAAAATGCTTCTTCCGGGTCGAAAAATACCAAAAAAACACATCGTTTTCAAAATGTGCAAACTTTTCTGCTTCCTTCTTTTTTTCCAGCTTGTAAAGATATTTTTTTCAAATGCAGCATAAAAAACTGAGTACAGACAAGTTGTTAGATCGAGTCCAATCTAAAGAATTTTTTGATGATGGTGTTTCGAATCGCACCGAGTGCAATACGTATAGGCCGATTTTGTAAGCCTATCTAGTTTTTTTTGACGTAAGAGATGAAGTCAAATATTTTATCGCATTTAACTCATCATACCACCAATCACAAAAGAACGCATCGCGTTTTTTTTCTTTTCTTTTCTTTGTTGAGAACTGTTTTTCTGAATTTTGGGCTAAATAGATAGAATTTGACTCGTACTTCTCCATTTTCTTCATAAAAACTAAGCTTTCGTGCAATAACCTTATCATATTCGGAAGCACCGCGAAAAACTGAATCGATTAATGTATGTTTCGAAAAATTTCGTCACCTTTAATTTTTTGATGAAAATTTCAGCCAGGTCTTCTCCGAAAATTAAAAAACTGAAGTCAATGGAAAAGGTTAAATCATATATCAATGGATTCAGTTTTTCGTACTGATTCCGAATATGATAAGATTATTGCACGAAAACTTAGTTTTTATGAAGAAAATG